CATGTGCCAGTTCTTCTCTTTTTGGATGCCATTGAATGTCATTTGCTCTTTTAAGTTTAGAAATATTTTAAAAAGCAAGAACTCGACATCTGTTCTCAGTCAGCGCAAATCCACATCGCACTTGTTCATCTGAACACTTGCCCACACCCACTGTCCCCCTTCATATCTGAACAGTGAAAAGACTGGGTGGCTGACACGTGGATGTTTGGATGTTTCAGAAAATAAAGAGGGGGGGGATGGGGGTGTGAGAGGGGACATCTGTACACAAGCTTCATTCCTACTGCCACCCTAGACAGCAGTGAACCAGTTTGAATGACTCCCCCTTGTTGTAAAAGCATGTTTATTGCAATTCATTGTTTGGGGAGCCACACTAGTAAAGATGAGAGCGAAGACTGAATCGGGGGCAAGAGCTGTCAGTTCAAACGTCAATAGGGTTTCTCTTTTGAAACAACCTGATGCTGTCACCTGGGAGAATTGAATACTATTGGAAAATGAACTATTGGATCTGGTGGTTGGGCTCAGTGGGCGTTCCGCTGTGCATGAGTTACCCCTCCTTGATCTGGGAATTTTCAAAGATCTTTAACAGGGGGGAGTTCCAAGTCCTTTTATTTCTTCTTGCAATTCCAAGTTTTCTATTACTATAGCTGGCGACCGTGCCGAGGTAATATTGCCAAGCACAACACAAAATCCATCTTCGAATGGATTTTAAAAATGTTTTTGTGCCTTTTACCGTCATTGATGATATAGCCCAGAGGTGACATTGAACCACTTGAGATGGTACGTAAGAGCAGTGATTTGCCCTGGTAAATGAGTAAACCCTGAACTAATCTTTTTTAATGTCGGTTTCTTAGATGTTTCCCATTACAGCTGTTTCTGCCTGCTGTGTTTCATAATATCTATAGCTGGGCAGTTGACTGCACTGTTCACCCCAGGTGGTGTGGTTTGTTGTTGAGTTCAGAGCTTTAAAATACCATGGAGCCTGATTGAAGTGACAGTACTGTATGTAGTCATATTGATAACTTGATCGCTGATCTGGTTTGATTGCTTTGCAAATTCCAAAAACTACGGAAAGTTCCCTAAACTCTCCCTGTATCTGCATTAAAAAGGCCAGATTCCAGGATGAAATGTAGAAAGGACCTTAAACCATTTTTAATCGTGTCTTATATCATCCTGGTTGAAACATCCACAAAAACACTACAATTCATCTCTGCATGACAGTCATTGTTTCAAGTGGGAATGCAGATGCCCTGGTGGGTTGGAAAGATTTGTCCAACTGGGAGCAGACATTGCGGATGTAGCTGTGAGGGCGAGGGGATTTAGCCAAGACATTTCCTCAGCTCATTTAATTTGATCAGTAACGTGAAAAGGAAATAGCCCCGGATGTCAGTGCATGGGAGATAGTCCCAGATGGAATGATTCCCAAAGAGCACTGAGCATTTATTAAGAAAGGGAGCTAAGCAGTTGGGCTCATATTAAATCTTGTAACTGATCTGGCCTGTTACAGGTGATAGCCTGCCCTATTTTGCTGCCTGTGAGCATTTACCTGATGGATTGTATCCAGGCATTAAAAAGAAAGGCTGACTGGATTTAATTTGGGTTTTCATGGGTGAAGATTATGCTTTTCGTACAGTTAGATGTGTGACCACGTGTGCCATTTCAGGATAGCTAGTGTTATTTTATTTCATTTTAAATGCGCTACATTTTTGCATTTAGAGACTTTTCTCCAATGTTCTTAATTTTTTTCCAGCATAGTCCCATTTGTGTGATGCTGGGTCTAATGAGAGAGCTTCCGAGCTGTAAAAAGTGACATGCAGAAAGAACAAAATGCAGAAAGGCAGAGGTGTTTTAATCCCAAGGGTTTGTATAAGGTTATTCGGTCATTAATGCCTGTACAGTAGATCTTAATTCCCCCGATCCTGATTTTACACGAAAAAGCCACCATATGCTGATTTATTAAATGAAAATGCTTTGACAGATGTTACAAAACATGGCACACACAGGTCAGAATAATGCTAATTAAGACTGGCTGCTATGACCAGAGTACCACACACGTCCCTTGCTGTCGAACACCGTGTAGCGCTTAGCTTTGTGCCACGCGTTTATATGGCTCACTTGTTGTTTTATTTAATACTGCTTTTTTCCTCAGTTGTCGGCTTTCAGGTCTGAAGTTTCTTAAGAAAGACACGGTCTAGTGTAGGAATAGAATAAAAAAACATGACTGCATGGGGAATTAAAAAGAAAACAGTGTTTTTTCTGATATTTATTTATTTGTGTTGGCGATTTCTCCGGGAGCTGAATGGGACATGAAAGATTAGAAATGTCATGACAAATTTCAGGCCAGCTAGTGTGTGTGTCAGGCTGGAGAGAGGGTGAATTTCACACCCCGTGCACCGGCCAGGCTGCAGCAGTGGCTTGGAGGCCTGAGGCTGGCGATCAGGGCCTGTCTGTAAGCCCCCCCCCCCCGCAGGCAGCTTCCACTTTCTCTCTGTCGGTGCTGATCCGAGGGTTCAGCTGCTCCCCAGGGGTGCGGGGGCTCTCCAGCTGAGCGAGCCTGCCAGCCTCTCTCACGCTGTGCTCCCCTTCACAAAGGGCTGCTAATAGCAGCTTTAAAACCAGGTGACACCAGTGTCCTAAGGCAAGTCAACAGCAAAAGAGACCTTCTTGAAATTTAACAGCAGCTGTTGCAAGGCAATAGAATTAGATGTTTGCAGCTGGTATGTAGTATTTATAAATACTATATACTGATTATTTTTTCCTTACAGATTTTCTATTACAATATATTCAGAGGAGGATTTCGTGAAAGGGAGTGAAGTCATTTACCTTATATTCACAACAGCTTAATTGCCACCTCTGTTATATAACAAAAAGTGATTTGGAAGATGCTAGATGCTCTGGAGAACTGCGTCCCTGCAGTGACAAGATGAGCAGTTGTAAGAAATCTGCCCATCTTGATGGATTGTGCTTTTCGGTCATGCTATACTTTACGTAACATGAGAGAGACAATCAAGCCGTTAGTAAAAATGGAAAACCTGGACCGCATTCTTGGCAGCTGACTGCTTGTAAATGTATCGGGAGGATGTATCGCATAGGATGTTCGCTGAGGGGTGGAAAAACTCGTTATTGGAAGGGCTTTGGTGCTGGCAGCCTGCGCAACGTGTTATTTGTTTGCGAAACATGTTTCAGCTTGTGCTCAGAGCAAGTGAGGCGAGAGCCTGAGTATTAAGTCAGAACGCCTCAAATAGGAGAACAAAAGGAGGCCAAATCCGGAGGAACCTGCTAATGCTGTCTGCAGAGCTGCCCTCCTTCATCACCCTCACTTCAGGAGCCCTGCTGGGCGGGGGTGTAGCGCAGGATTAGGAGCGGCACACATGAGGCTGGGCGTATGGCTTAATTGCATTGCGTTCCTGGGCCTGTCATACTGCTGAAGATACTCCACAAGTGTGGGGCGGCCGTGTGTTCGGCTGCGCTCCAACATATAGGCTGTGCAGCATACAGTGGACGCAGCAGCAGGGAAATCCTGTCTAGATGAAATTCTGACAGAAAGTCTGCGGTCTATAAGCAAGAGCCCTGGAAGTGGTGATTGTAATCTGGATTACAGTCCAGCAGGTGGTGGCCAGACCTATTGTACCTGTTAACAATAAGCGGCGGCTTACAATAAGCGTGGTGGTGGGACATGTTGGACATTTCCAGTGGGAAATGCCTCCAACGGACTGGAGAATTGTTGCCTTTTTTTAAGAATCGCCCAAACTGTTTTAAAGTGCCGTCTGAACATAATGTATGCCCTACATGCCTACCCAGGAAATGATAGAAATGTCTCAATGTCTCAAACACGAATATTTATCAACAGGTTACATTAAGCTTTTATGCAAACAGGTTTAGATATTTTAATGATCTTCTATTAACTCTATCTGATTACACCGAATTTTCTTGTGCTGTAGAGTGTGTCACCTTACACAGGAAGTGTCAGGGCTTGCCTCTTGATGAGTGCTGCGTGTTACACAGAATACATTTGGGTGTGCTCCAGTTCCCTACTGCCTAGTGGAGAATTGCGTGCAGTGTGGGTAGTCAGGTTGCTTCATTGGAAACCTGTTTATACAATAGGAGTGGAAGAGTCACACTGTTGTCGTGTCTTTAATATATACGTAATGAACCACTCTCAGTCATAGCAGAGTCAGCATCGAACTGGCAATAGAAATGCAGAGCCTATTCAAACGAGCTCAGAAGTTAAGTCCCAGTCTGGTTAGTGTAGGCTATTAAATTGCTGGAGCAATGTGTTGTCCTTCAGTGGAAGTTGTTTCACTGAAATGAACTCTGCATTGCCAAACACCAAGTGTTTTCTACCAAATCTGCATTATGGTCTTGGACAAAAATAAGCCCTGAGCTCAGAGTTGCTCATCAAGGATGTTTGTACATCCTTCTTAGACAGAGGCAAAATATGGTGTGCATCTCCCACCTTAAAAAAGACACATTTAGAGAAAACCTGTTACTGTGCCTTTACTTTATCTTTAAACATTTATCTTGCTGAATTTTGGGCTTTGCGCATTGATCTTAATAGTTTAGCGGGGGACTGTTAGAGGTGTGTCTGTTATTACAATCACAAGATATTTTGTAACTAGGTGGCAAGTTTTCTAAAATGAATGAAATCTGGAAACCTTATGAAATATGAACTTAACTGATGACTGAACAATTCTTAATAAAATGTAGTAGTACAAGGGCCTTTTCGCATCTGTGTAAACAATTTCGAAGGATAGCAGTTAGAAATATAAAGGGGTAAACGCAGTGTTTAAAGAAGATACTGATCTATTAACAGGTTAAAAAAGATCTGAGTAGATTCTCTACAGGTTTTGCCATAGGCAATGCTGTGTCACTGTTTCTCACAACTTTGCAGTGTAAGTAATACTGGTTGAAAGAACTGTAACAAGTTTCTCATTGCCTGTGATATCTGACACAGTCCCAGATCAGGCGGTGCTGTAATGTCTCCTGGCCTTTTTTTTTCTCAGGCTTGCCAAGTTTCATAAAATCCCCGGAGGACCAAATAGGGATTTCGGGAGGGGTGGCGTCTTTTGTGTGCCAGGCAGCTGGTGAACCCAAACCGAGGATCACATGGATGAAAAAGGGGAAAAAAGTCAGCTCTCAGCGGTTCGAGGTGAGTGCCACGGGCAGATGCAGCGCCCTCCCCTGTGCAGCCCACTGAAACGTCTACCTCACCTCCGCAGCGTGCAAGCTATTCACCTGGGGCTTGTGTCCTTGCCTTGCTCCTGGGACCCATCCTGTTTTACTGGGCAGTATTTGGCTCGGCTTTCCGCCGGGAATGTGATGTCGTTAAATTTTAATTGGAAGACGGGTCTCCCTCTTTACTGGCATTAAGGGGTTGTTTCAAAAGGAATAACTCAACACAAGAGTCCTCCAGGAGATGTCTGCAGCTCAAACCTGCGCACACGTCTTCACAGACTTCATTAATAACAGATACTGTTAGGTTTTCAGCATGATCGCCTTCATCAAATATATCATCATATTCTGCATGAACAGTCATACACTAAGGCGGTCTTAAGGGGCAAAAGCGTTACCAGTAATACAGAAAGAACTGCTTTGCCATGTAACAGCTTTCAGTCTTTTTACTGGCTGAGCTCACACAACGCTTGGATCACACTATTTGTACTAAACTGTTGGAAGTGCTTGTGATCTGTCAGAATAGGAATTTAGCATAATATGGAGCTGAAACGGTCTTAACAGGACAGTTACCAAGCCTGAGATTTTTTTCTGATAGAGAGTTCTCCTTTTATGCAATTTAGCTCAGTAGCTGCAACTTCGGATTTCATGAATAGTCCCCTCCACTCCCCTCGTTTCCAAATAAAACCAGAGAAAAATGAGAAAATGTACTTCTCTAAAAACAGTTTGCTGTGAGCAAGATGTAAGAAGATGTAAGCCAAAGAAATCCATATCACCACTCTTAGGTCATTCTTAGTCATTTATATTGTGTGGTGTCAACTCTGGGTATATACACATTCTACTTTTGAACTGGTCATATTCTGTCCTGCTTTCTGTTGTAGGTGATTGAATTTGATGATGGGTCAGGGTCTGTCCTCCGAATCCAGCCCCTGCGGACGCACAGGGACGAGGCGATTTACGAGTGTACAGCCACAAACAGCATGGGAGAGATCAACACCAGTGCCAAACTCACAGTTCTGGAAGGTAAGGAAGGAGTCATTCGTTAGGATTGGTTGTGATGTGCTAGGAAGCAGGAGAATCCTGGAATGCTCCTCTGGCACCTGCAATTTGACCTGTGAATCTTTTCTTTTTATATCATCTGTTTGTAGAAACGTTTTTTTGTATTAAGCGTTGGTTTTCTCCTGCATTCCTGTAGCCCTGAGTGATCTGCAGGAATCAGCAGGGCATTTCAGAGCTTGATATCTCAGTTTTGTTTAGTTCAGTGCATGAAACTCTGCTTAAACAGAATTCACAATTTGAACAAAGCCCAACTCTATAGATGTGCTCCATTGACTTTATTTTGTCCATAGGTTATTCTCAGATGAGAGTGACAGAGAACCTTGAATAAAAAAATTGGCAAATGTTTCATAAGCTCTTCATTTTTTATTTAAATTAAAATTGGTCAGATATTTCTCTTGGAACACATCCATTACTGCAAATGAGTCAGAAACATGTGCAATGATAATATTTATCCAGAGCCAATGATGTTGATGATATCGTTGCAGAATTATATAATTTATCTGGAGGGCTTTATGCAAATATCCATGCTTATTTTACATTGTATATATTATTTCAGCTACAAGTAGGTCTCTTAAGGTTTTAGTAGCTATGCTCTTTCTTGCTTAAAAAAAATAATACACATGCATAAATTAAATCAGAAAATTACAATTTGCCTTGCATTATGCATAAACACGTATAGAGCTTACAGACCGTAAAGCAAGTAGAGAACTGCTTTACTTGTCAATTAGGGAACCAACCAGCGGCATGTTTTCCATATCACATGAGGCCTCGCCATTAATCCTCTATTAATCTTCTGTTTTTGACCCCGATATAGCTGTGGAAAATGAATTTATGCAGCATATAAATGCCAAATTAAGAAATCTTTATCCAGAGTATAGTAAAATTCCTTCAGAAAAAACAAAGTGTAGGAGTGGTACTACAAAAGGGTCAAGCAATTAATATAAGCTTACTGGCAGTGGGCTTGCACACTGCGATGTGCTGTTTGTGTAGGAAGTCCAATGGATAGCAGGTCTAGGTGAGAGGGACTGGCTATGCTGGAGATAGAGGAGGTCTGTTTTTAGAGAAACCGTTGTTTACAGCTCTGTGATAAGTCAAGCTCATATTAGCCGGAGGCCGAGAAAGATTTAATATGAAGTGGAACGACGATAATGTGTAGCTGGGTGGCGTGTCACTTTTAAAGGGGCTGCTTGTGACCAGGGCTCATGGTACATCACACCTTGTCAACGCGCTTGGAGTCAGCGTACAAATGGTTCCTGTATGTGGGGTAACAGGTGTGTCACGCGATTCTTCTAGACTGGTGTAACAGAGTCATCCACCTTCTTGCAGCAGGGGCTGGTTAGTCATGATGAATACCGTGGGATTTGGCCAAAGGGTGGGGAAAGTCATTCAGGTTAATGTGATAAAAAGGAAAAACAGTGCGACTTTAACATGATATTGTGAAATGAGTGAGACAGACAAGCAGATAAAAGACCAAGGACGGTTACTGTCGGTGAGATCATGTTTTTCTGCACAATTGTAGCGAACATTTCATCTGTCTTACATTGTATAAAAAATGTACAATCAGGTAAAGTATTAAATCATCTTAAGTGGGTAGGGAAGGTCACTTGTAATCTTTTGCGGTGTCAAAAGCACAGCAGTGTTTTTTCTCATGGTGTTCCCATGTTTCCTATTGGTCTCCTAATGGCATGTGTTCTGGTGGCAGCATGCTGTGCTGTACCTGGGTCCTTTACCTGACTCTTACTCAGGCTCTTGAACTACTGAGCAAGCACTTTTCTATTGAAACCTGAAAGTAGCAACCTAGTTGCCGTCTTATGCTGCTGTCTTTTGACTTGAAAGACCGGCAGACTGTAGCATATCGTCTGAACTTGATTTCAAATGCTGTCAATCATCCTGATTGTGTACAGAGCCTGGGTCCATTAACGCAAACAGCCTCGATGATGCTGCAGCAGTGATTGGCATGTAATGGAGCAGGCACTAACATATGTGTACCTCCCTGTTTGGCCATGTACATTGTGCAGGACTTGACATGTGAAAGCTGTACAGCTCCAGAGGCGCTGCCTAACACGCGTGGCCAGAGCATTTCACTGAGGAGTGGTTTACTGTAGCTTTAGGGTCCTTGACATGTGAAAACAAGTGAAAGGGCACTGAACAAGTCCAGGCACCACCAGTTGCCTGGAGAATAAAGCCTTTTAATAATAATCAGCCAGTCTGCTGAAATAACCTGTATGTGTAACAGAGCACAGCTAAACACCAGTTGTATTTTGAGGAGCTTCAAACTAGAAGGAATATGTGAACTGACAGCTCCATAGTTTGCAAAGCTAGACTTGAGAAGACATTGACGTTGTGTATTTTTTTCCATTGTGAGTCCCCGGCAAACACGTTTTCTTCCCAGCTCGGATTCCCACTCTGGATCCCCTCTGGAATTCAGCTCTCATTTCCACTGCTGTTCTGTAAATATTGGGCATTAACGGAGGGGAAAATCTCAAATCACTCTCGTGCAGAGCTTAAGTTTTAATTTTGTACACTTAAATATGAAACAAAAAATTAAAATGGCTTTGCTTCAATGCAAATAATAAGCCTAAGCCTGTAGCCTGTACTAGTTCTTCCATCTTTTGTTCTTGGGCAGCAGTTGCTGGCTGCCAGACCTTGCAGTTCATTCGTCTTGTTAACAGACAACTCCATTATGATTTATTTGGACCAACGCCCTGTGATGGAATGAATCAGAGCTCTAGCATCTGAGGGTCTGAGACACTTCACAAATGAGCGGAGACCCCGTTAGACCCCTCCAGCCCGTTTAGTAGTAGTTAATTCATCTACAGGACCTTTACTGAAAGTGGGGTATCAGCTTCAATAACACGACTGTGTGGCTTGTTCCACACTTAGCTGTCCAGGTTCAGCTAACGTCTTTTAAGAGCCCGGCATTTTCCTGTACCTTTTGCTATGCCACCTTCATAGGTTGCCATTTATTACTCTTTATAGGTATGCAGTTATGTCTGTGAAGTGTCGTCACTCTTGTTCCCGGTTTCATTGTGTGCCCAGAGTTTACTATGCATGCTTGTTCCTTTCGTTCTTCCTGCTTTGTGTTTGTCTCCATCTTTACTGGTCCTTGTTTGGCCAGTTACTGTCTGCCATACTCTATGGGCATGTGGGTGTTGAATAACATTCACTAATGTTGCAGCTCTGTTTAAATGGTATACTGGACCATGATGTTAAAGCCCTGTCTTGGATCATCTGCATTCCTCCTCATCTTTTTTCCCAAATATTCTTAATCAAAATACAATTTACAAAAGGTCAGCCTGCTAGTGCAATAAATCAAAGTAATTCTTCAGTTAAAGGAGGTAAGGAAATAAGAATGCTCATAGAGAAAACGCCCCAGATGACTGATAAGGCTTAATATTTATTTATGATTCATATCTAGAATTTTGTGTCCTTTTCAATTACTTCTCTGAACTGCAGTTCTCATAGTATGTCAGTCCTTGAAATTCCCATGTGCTCGTGGTGAAAGTCAAATGTGCAAACAGAAGGCAATATTTGATAGACACTTATTAGGAAACCTTTGATAGTATTTAGCGAGTACATGGATTTAGGAGCAAATGAATGCATCAAAAATGGGTCACTGTTACACTCATTGAACCAAACCCCAAGATGGTTTATTGGAATGTTTTGAAATTTGAAGCACTATATAGATGAAACAAAACACAGCCAATATTTTAGATGTGTGTAAAGACAGCATGTCGGGCAGTTAAATAGTGCCTAATCCTGAAAGGCAGATTCATCTTGATCTTGCTGTGATAAATACATATTTAGATTTCAATAATTCAGAACTACTCTCCTCTTCTGAAGCAGCAGATCAATCTTCTTTTGCTTATCCTGGTTAAATCGTATGTAATGAGATGAAGATTCATTTAAACTATTGGTGCACCTTAGTCGCTGAAAACGTATGTGTGTGAATATATTCATGTTCATGGAGGAAAATTTGCTTATTTGATTTAGAGAGAACCTCATAGCAGAGCAGACTGCCATTTTTTCTGCTTATAATGTCACCATGACTCATTCATCCTGTAGTCTAATACTAGATAATAACACTGTGAAGAAAAGTGTCCCTTAGTCTTTCAGTGACAGGTCTATCCATTTTGGGGTTTTCAGAAGACTTAGGATGGATCTTGACGAATAGCCTGGAATATCCATTAGCTAACTGAACCACTGACACATCTGTGGGTGCAAAGTAAAAGGTGAAGTCCAGACCAGCGCCACAGCAGCTCCTCAGGCTAGAGCCCATCCTGGTTACTGGAGAGCTAAGTGCACTGGGGAGCGATGGGATGCCAGTTCGTCACAGGGATTCTCTTCACACTGCCTGTCCCCACTTCTACAGCAGGGTGGATGGGCGGAGCTGTGGAGCAGCACCCTCGCTCAGGGAAGAACAGTAGAGTCTGCAGCAGAGCCTCGAACCCACAACCTCCCAGTCATGGGTCCAAAGCCTGCCTGTTGTGCTGTGATGAGGGGGCAGGAAGGGGAAGAGAGAGGGGGGGGGGAATCATACCTGTCCCAAATCTGTCAGAGTTCTCATTTTTCCAGCATGAGCTCCTGCTGGTCCATGTCACGGGTTTAATTTCTCATACCATCTGCTGGCTCAGCCCCAGTTCAGGGTTTGCTCTGTTTGAAACAGTGTAAATTATAAACATTTGACAGTTACAAACGGCATCTGCAGGGAACGGCTTCTCAGATGGGGCCTGGCGAGATAGTTGGCTGAAAAACCTCCTCCTAATGATGAATTGGCACCTTTTTGAGAAGGGGGGTTATGGGTCTGCTTTGCAATGAAGGCGTTTTCTGATTGTTGTGATCAAGTTGCTGCTTATTTGTGCAAAGGTTTAAACTGATGGAAAATATGCCCCGTATGAAAAGGAAATGTTTTGCCTCCCCTAAAATGCGCACAGAGGTTAGTCTTTATAAGCGCCTTGGAGGAT